CTCTTTCCTGTTGGTGTAGATCAGATCTCCATAGTACCTAAGTGTCTGTGCGCTGCAGTTATGAAATTTAACCTTTAGTCATTATTGTCACCCTGTTGGTGTGTACCATACAGTTCATTTACAACTTCAGCTTATTAAGGCTGAACAAGTGTTACTATGGAGGAATATAAACTGCATGCTGGTCAAATGTCGCAAACTACTAAAATCTGGAATTTAGTAGTGTATTTGCTTTACATCAGGTGTCTAACTACCTGAATTGGATGGTTCGTAATCTGGCTGACATGGAGATCCAGCTGGGTGCAGTGAAAAGAATCAATGGCCTTCTCAAAACAGAAGCTGAAAATTACGAAGGGCTCCTTTGTAAGTGCAGTTTTGTGCAGCATGCAGAAAGAGCTTGCTGAAATTTTAATGATTTTGCAGTGTGTTACCATGAAAAACATAGTAAATCACTTAATGAGCTGATTAATTTATTATGAGAGGGTTGATTTTTTGCTTGGTTTTTTTTTTTTCCCCCCATGCTCCTGGTACAGCTTCCTCACAGATTCCCCAGAACTGGCCAGACAGAGGGGAGATCCAAATCCAGAACCTCAGCGTCCGATATGACAGCAACTTAAAGCCAGTGCTAAAGCATGTTAATGCCCACATCTCTCCAGGACAAAAGGTAAAGCACTACAGTGACTCTGAGAAGCTCTTTAGACTAGCACATCTTAGAAATCACAAAGTTGAAAAAACATACCACAGTTTTGATGACTGAATTACAGAATTTTTTCTCTAAAAGAATGTAGTGCACTAGAAAGGAGTCTGCAGGTTTCTTAGTTTGGTGTGTTTAGGCATGCATTAGAGTGAGAAGTTAGAACTACACACCACTTCTCAGTATCCCAGTGCCTTGCTGACAGCACACAGTGCTGACAGAAGTGCCAAAAGAAGTGACAGTGACCCCTTACTGTGTTAGACCTACTTTCCATCATTCCCATGTGGCTCTCTTGCCTTTATTCCTATCGTTGCCACTCTTCTATTGTTCCTGTATACAGGACTGGCCTTGATTTATTCCTAAATGCTCAGACCCCTAAAGACAAGGAGTGAACTTAGGGATTGTTATGTCCAGTTCAGTTTGACTGAACTGTCAGGAGGACATGAGGATCATGTGGATCAGAACAGCTCCTCCATCCACTCATCTTAAGTGTCAAGTACAGACATTATCCACTTCCGCTCACCTGATGTTCATCTGCTCTCTCTGTCACAGATTGGGATCTGCGGCCGAACAGGCAGTGGAAAATCCTCTTTCTCTCTTGCGTTTTTCAGAATGGTTGACACTTTTGAGGGTAAGATTATGCTTGTGCATATGGGTCAAGCTTAGCTCCTGAAGGTGCTTTGATAGTCCTTTCCTTAACAGCAGCAGCTTTGAAGCGCAATCTTTGAATCTGCAGGACACACTCTCTGGCCTTGTTTAAACATGATATCATCTGTCACCTAACAGCTGTGCCATTGATAAGCTGGATCAATAAAAATTCTACTTGACAGGAGCAAAAGTCCTTTTGTGCTGTTAAATCACAACAGTAGGAGCAAACCATAAAAGGGGAAGGTGTTCAAGTACAGTGAAGGCACAAGGCACAGATAGGACCCACTGGGCCCAGAAAAACTCAGCAACTGGGCATTGCAGTTTGGCCTGCTGCCCTGGAATTTCCTGCCATGTTTCCTGCTATGTGTGCCATGTCCATGTGCCTCATGGATGCCTTCCTGTGCATCTCAAAAAATTTTAGCCTTGGTTTCCCAGCTACATCGCCCACAGAGCCGTTACGCAGAGCCAGACAGTTGTACTTGGAGATAAAATTTCGAAGTGCTCAACAGTAATTTGGCTTTTTGAAACGCTTGTTCCCCCTGGTAACTAGTCCCTGGTTGAATTAACCTCTTACCTTCTTGTTTGGTAGATGTTTGTAATGGTCAAGCAGAGAAGTAGTGTGTCTAATCATTCATAAAATATTACAGGTATTCTTTGTATTCCTCCCAGCTGAGGCTTAGTCTCGAGACAGTTGTGCTTGCTGCTTAACCAAAACTTGTTTCATTAGTGAATAAGAGGATACGCAGTTTATGTTCCTGCTGTACTGTATTGCAACCTGAAAGCGAGCCATGTCTTTGCCAGCAGCTGTGTGGCGTGATAAACGATCTAGCAGACTATCAATTTTCTTTTGAATAGGAAGGATTATCATTGATGGTATAGATATCGCTAAGCTCCCCTTACAGACGTTGAGATCCAGGCTGTCAATCATTCTCCAAGATCCTATTTTATTCAGCGGAACAATCCGGTAAGCATTAAGCACCAGCAATAAAAAACATATAATGACTTATATGCCATTATATATTATGATTATACCATATAATGACTTTTACAGAATTGCTGATAGCAAACTGTTCATTCCAGTCCCCTCAGTTGGAGTAGGGGGGATCACTGCTCTGTCTGTGCTTTTTACCCACCCCTGCCAGACTGCACCTTCCCAGTGCCTGAGCGCGGTCAGCACGCTGTTGGCAAAAGGCATCCCATGCCTGGGAAGCAGGGAAAGTCACTATTTATTCCTCCAGGATCGAGTAATCAGTTTAGCTCACTGATCAAATACCCATAACCACCCAGAACTTCTTGAAACCTTCTTCCTCCTACATCTGTTTTCATCTGTCTGCCTTAAAAAATGATGTGGAAAGAATGCAGACTAAAAAATTAATGTAGAAAAAGAAGAAGTGGAACAATTTGAGAAGTACTGGGGGATGTCTGGGATGTTTTATCCTGGAGCCTTTATCCATGTTCCTCTTCTAGTCTTTGAGATGTTCTTTCATCTGTGAGAATGTCTGTGAGACTATTCTTTCTCTGAGAGCATGATGCAGTAGAAACAGTGGCAAAAAGCTCCACAGTCTCCAACAAATGTCCTTCCCTGTGTCAGTGGCATTTACCTTAGAAAGGAACAGTACAATCCTCAGTGGAGAGTTACATCACCTGCAGTTACAGTTTCTACATAAAAGTCATTAGAGTTCACTGAAAATGATACAGCCTTCTGTGGTTTGCTGACTCCACATTAATACAGATCCCAAGATTATCTCCTGAACTTGCCTGAACAGAGCATGATTCATTCATGTTAGAGGATGAGGTGACTGTGTACCTTTGTTTTATTAATTAACCTATTAAAAATTTATTTAGGCCAGCATCAGTCATTTACAGCACATACAGTAGGAGTAAAAAGTAAAAATAAGAAGTGTTAGGCACCATTGAATCTTTTATTTCTGATTATCATTCTATATATTAATATGACATGAGATTCACATTTGTTGCTATCATTTCTGGGCTACAGCAAGCTAAAATAACATTCATCTGTTCATAAATCCCAAGATTTGTTCAGTTGTAGTGAAGACTTGCATTTCGTAATTCAGTATGAAGCTTGATTGTTCTGCTTAGCATTGCTATAGCAGTAAAGAACAAAGAGACATTGGATTTAAAAGGAGAGATGGTAGAATTTTGGCCTTTGTTAAAAAAAGAATGTTAATTTAAACTGATTATATTCACAGCTTTTTTTCTGCAGAGCTTTTTCTAGTAAAATGTGAGAATTTTTTAACTTTATTCAGAACAAAATAAATTCTAAAACCACAAAAATATCTGCAAAACAGGAAGCTTTTCCCATTCTGCTCAACTGAAAGAGTCAAATTTTGTTCTTAATCACATTGGTATAAATGTTCACCAGTCTGCAAAATTCAGTGGATTTATACCTACGATAGATCAGAATCAGGCCCAGATCTTTAGCATAGAATTCTGATTATTTGCAAGTTTGTTTCTAAGCGCACTAAAAGAAGAAATACATTGCAGAAGTTTATATTGACTGATATTCTTGAATTACACATAACTGTAGGTTTAACTTGGACCCTGAGAAGAAATGCACTGACAGCATGCTGTGGGAAGCATTGGAAATAGCACAGCTCAAGCATGTGGTGAAAGCACTCCCTGGGGGCCTAGGTAACAAGACTTGCTTCTTGAGAAGATTGCTTCCAGTGTTCACAACATTTCACGTTTGCTATTTATTAAAAAGGTAGTTGCTGAAGAAAAAGCTTCTTAGGTTTATGGAAGGTGACAAAAAGTACTTGCATGCAGGCAAAGGTCCTATATCCATCCAACTCCCTTAGCAACTGCACCTGTGGGGCAGAATCTCTATTCAAGTCAATGGTAAAATTATTTCTTTATTTCAGTATGTCTTCGTTATGAAGCATTGAGGTTTATGGGTCTTGTGAATTCAAATAAGGTGTAAAGAAGTCAGGTGTTATCTAGAATATGTACTTTTGTATTTTCCAATAGTCGTGTCCAGGGAGGAAGATTTCAAAAGCTTAAAGGTGTGCATCATTTGGCCATGGAAAAAAAAAACAAAACAAAACAAAACAAAAAAAAACAAAACAAAACACCAGTCCCAAAACCTTAAAAATGGTAAAGCCTTAAGGTAAAGAAATGATGGATGCCACTTTGACAGGGGGATGCAGTGTCCTAGACTGCACGTGTTCCAGAGAAACTCGCTCTTAAACATCCTTAGCTACTTTGATGTCTAATAGATATAAAAAATATAGTGAGACAGAAGTACTGGTTGTTTTGAACAATGGAAATAAACAGGCAAAATTGGGTCACCAGCAGCTGTAAACCTAGGTAATGTTACTTTGAAAATCTTTATGCTGAAGGCGAGTCATTATTTTCCAAGCATATGCTCTACTCTGATCTGACCCTCTCATACAACACCCCCCCCACACCCCCCCATAAATATTGTTTTTGCTGTATCATTTCCAGATGCTATAGTCACAGAAGGGGGTGAAAATTTTAGCCAGGGCCAAAGACAGCTGTTCTGCCTAGCAAGGGCTTTTGTGCGGAAGACGAGCATCTTCATCATGGATGAAGCCACAGCATCTATTGACATGGCAACAGTGAGTCTGGAGTGTTTCTGATTTCTGGCTTTACTTGAGGGGGAAGACAACTGCTAATATGCGAAGAAAAAGGTGGAAGGCAATTCTATCTACTCTGTAATATGTTACACCCTATTTAGTGCAGACGTGCTTACAAGTCCAGGTAGTTGTGAGTCATTGCTAACTAATCTAAAGAGCTTTTAAATCATTTTACTAGGGGTTTAATAGTTATTCCAGCATTGCTTGCATTAGGAAAATGAGGCATGTTATTTTCATTGGCAGTTTGATTTCCTAAAGTAAACAAAGCTTTGGAAGGTCAGCTGGGATGGTCAGTGAAGGGTAAATTGGCAAGCAGACAAATTTCCCCAGCATGGTGGACAGGACAAGTCAGGAAGTTAGAAGGCTTGAAAGTAGAGTCAAGGAAATAGACATAGAAAAGACATACTGGATTATTGCATTAATTGCCTGAAATTGCTAGACAGAGGTTAAACCACACAATAATATTGCACTGACTGGATTTTAGCCAAATAGAACAGTACATTCTTAGGATTTTTTTTTTTCCTGTTATGTTGTTACGAGAAATGTTTCAGTCTTCTTCATTCTATGAATAAAGAATATAGTTGGAGGGGTTTATTACAACAGCTACGATTTTTAGTTCTGTAAAATGTTAGTGTTGGGTGTCAGTAATGTTGGGAATTATACTGTACACAGCCCAGTTAAAACACATTTTGCATTTTGACGCATTGAGGATATAGTTCCTCCCTTGAGACCCGTACCTAAAGAACAGATAATAGCAAATAAAGGCATCTGGGCTAGTGATGTTTCTAGGCAGTTTGGTACACAAGAACGTTTCCTGAATAGCAAAGGATGAGTACTTGTTGAGTGAGTGTTGTATGTTAAGACTATCTTAAATATCATCTCCACTGTTAAATATGCCAGGTACAGCACACTCCCTTGCTTATCCCTGCCACCCCTTGGTGTTAGATGTCCCCAGTGTGCTGGGACATTCCTGGGCTTCTAGCAGGGTGAAGAACGCACCGCAGGGGCGCTAGCATGCAGGCAGCCTGGCAGCACCCTGAATTCACCTTTGATTTCCTCACTGTAAAACTGAGGTCAGGATAGCAGGGGTTTGGGAGCCGGAGCACAGCTCTCGTGTGCGCCGAAGCCTGGAGGCAGTGGGGGTGGCAGGAGCAAGCAGGGCTGTTTAACTGGAGACCAGGCTCTGACTTAGTTCTGACATGTAGTTAATTTTTCATTTCTGCAACAAAGGACCAATAGAAACATGGATTAATCAGTGGTTACCTAAGCCTTCTTAGAGTCTGTGTGTCTGTCATGTAACTTCTGTTGTTTGAAAAGCAACAAATGTTTTTCTTTACATAGGAGAACATACTCCAGAAGGTAGTCATGACTGCGTTTGCTGACCGTACTGTGGTTACAATAGCAGTAAGTAGTCTCTGCTGCCGTTCTAATGCAAACAAGAATCAGAAATGCCACATTAGTCAATTCTTATTAATGTTAATAAATGTGTTAATTTGGCCATTAATCTTTTTTAATGCGGTGTTTAAGTGTAAGCTTTCTTTTCCATTTTAAACTACTCTCTTATTTAAATACATAACAGCAGCTTCTTAAATGTGATGCTGAGTCTGATTGTGGGTAAAGGCGTGTAATATAAGTATGCAGTCTATTTTCTGTTACCAATTTTAGGCTAATTTAAAATATAATATGACTGACTACTGTGAAATCTAAGAATAAGTTTCATCAAGCTACAGTAATCATTTAACTAAGGACAAGTAAAATTGTGTGGTAGTTCTGCCACTGGATAAAGCAATTATGTTTCAGAATTTAAACAAATAAATGGCAATCTTACTAACTTTTAAAAATAAACATTCCATCCCTGTTGACAGTGATTAAATTTAAGTTTGCATATTCTTGAAGTGATTAGATAAAGATCTCAAGTATCTATAAAAAAAATGTTTATGAAAGAGCTTTGACCTGAATCAAAGCAGTTGGCTCAACAGATATGTCAGAAGCAATACATATCTTTCAGTCCTCTAATTGCTAAAAATACACATATTTCAGGGACGTGAAATAAAATCATTATGCTTCTTAACATTTAAAAATTAAACACAAGAAATCTATGCTCAGGAATCTTACAGCATCTTTTTATTTTCACCTAGCAAACGTGTAACAGAAAATGTGATTTATCTTACGGTATCCATTCAGTGTGTCGTTATAAAAAAAGCAAAGGAATCATAAGCATGAAATTCCCTGATTTCTCTGCATGAAAATTCTGAGTTGCACTGCATTTTTTATGTATGTATCTTTTTCAGTTTGTTTGGGGATAGGGTGAGAAAGTTTTATTCATCTTTTGCTCTTTTAGTGAGTTTTGAACTGCACAGTTCAAACAAACAGCATTTTGGAATAAACTTACTTTGAATGTTTTTACTTCCAAGTGTAACTATGGTGGGTTTGTATTCAAAACACTCTGTAATAGAAACATAATGTGGGTTTTTGGGGGGGGAGTTGGGTAGTAGTTTGGGTTCTGGTGTTTGGGGGTTTTTTTTCCCCCAGCGGAAGCCGTATATTCCTAATTTTTGCTTAGGAAGAATAGGAATAGGAAGAGTATGGTACTGGGTCTATATTATTATCTATGTTACTTTACCAGAATGGCAGCATTGATTGTGTTATACTGAAAGAGATCAGACAAGAAGGGCAGCAAGTACAACTGGAATGTGATATTTCAGTCCCCTCCCCCTGCCTGTGGACTGGATAAATGTCACAGAAGGACTGCAGCAGAGATGAGATTTGTAGATGCCATCAGTGATTATTTCATGGAACATCTGGTTAGGAAGCCACAGAAGGAAATACAAGAGTTGTTCTGGTACTGAAGGTGCCCAAGATCTGATTAGGAGCCTTTTGGGTGAAGAGTGACTGTGTAACAGAGACCACAGTATTCTGAGATTAAATATCCCTGCAGGAGTAATGCAGACCCAAAAAATCCAATGCAGTTACACTCAACTTTAAAAAGTGGAATTCTGTAAAAATGAGGAGGCTTGCTAAAAACAAAACGCAAAAATAAGTGGGGGAAAAGAAAAGCTAAAAGAGGAAGTGAAGAAAATTGAATCTACAGGCATTATGGAAATTATTGAAGGATTTTATTCAAAAATCCCAGGGCCAATGCATGCTATTTATTAGGAAAGGCTTGAGTAAGGATAGAAAGAAGCTGGTATGGCTAAACAAATAAAAAAAACTATTAGAAACAAGAAGGCATTCTTGTAAAAGCTGAACTCATAGCCAAATAAAGAAAACAGAAATGATCATAAGTTCTGGCATGTTACATGTGAAAATGCAATAAGGCAGGCCAAAAAGAAAAAAAAAAAGTATGAGCGCAGCTTCTGGAAGCCATCAAAACTAGTAATGAATCCCTGAAACACACCAGGAGCAAGAAGTCTGTCAATTTATGGGGCCATTTGATGATCGATACATGAAAGGAATGCTCAGGAAAGATAACGGTATTGCAGAAAAGCTAAATTAATTATTTTCAGTATTTACTGTGGAAAAAACTGGGGAGGTTTCTTCCTAATAAAATAAATTAATCAAATGTTAGGGCTTACTAGGAAAAGGGTAGAGAACAAAAAAGAAAACATCATACCACTGTATAAGTCCATAGTTCGCACATACCTTGAATATTGTGCGTAGTTCCAGTCTTCTCATCCCCAGAATGACACGTTTCAACTGAAAAATGTTGAGAAGCACAAGGTTGATCGGAGATGTGGAACTGCTCCTTAAGGGGAGCAGCTGAGTAGGCTAGGCCTCTTCTGCCTGGAGGAAGGACAACATAAGGACACATGAGAGAGGTCTGCAAAATCATGAGGCCAGGGGGAAGAGGCATCAGGTCAAGCTCTGAGCAGCGAGGCCCAGAGCATACAAAAGGGGATACTTGTTCACGCAGTGGGGAGCAAGCCGGGAAAAATCTTTTCCAAAGGATGTGGATGCAAAACCTTTTATGAAAGCTCAAGAGAAGATGTGTGCAAGGTCTTAGAAGAGAGATCTATCCAGTTTTACAAACAGACAAATCACACCAAGCTCAGGAACCCCCCTGATCTAGACCTAGTCCAGGACTGGGAGAGTACCCACATGCAGTATCGCACTCGCTTGCCCTGATCCCACTCTTCCTGGCTACCTTCTTGTGGCAGTGCTTGGGGGCAGGACTGGGCTAGGGATATTGTAGTCTGAACTCATATGACGATTCATACCCAAAAACCTATGTGCAATTTAGGTACTTGAATATCCACGTGGCTCGTGGTCTGTATATTTATCAGCAGTATTTGCACAGTAAATTAGGATGAAAAGTACCACAAGTAGCCTGGATCAAACTTGAACTTGACAGGAAAATTAACTTCTGGAAATCTGTCTTATCCTGGAATATATTTGATAGATACACTGAACTGGTGTTTCGTTTATTTGTTTTTCAGCACCGCGTGCACACTATTCTCAATGCAGATTTGGTTATTGTAATGAAGAGAGGGGTTATTTTGGAATATGACAAGCCTGAGGTTCTGCTAGAACAAGAAGACAGTGTCTTTGCTTCTTTTGTACAAGCAGATAAGTAATAAAAATAAATGAAGCATTTTAAAGTACAATTGTATTATTTTCTAAAAATGTAAAATACCTGTAAATAAATATTATTTCATAATAAATTGAGGTTTTCCTTTTTTAATAAAATGAGCCATTTTTCTCCATCTTAAATATTAATGAATTATCCATGTACTTTCCTTTTTTTGTGTACTACTACTCTTCTTTTTATTTGCTACCAAAGAGTCATGAAATACGGTTGAAACAAACTACATGGGTGACATATGACAGGATACACATCAAACAAACATAGCCAGCACGGAGTTTTTATGTAACTCTTAAACCTCTTTTGTCATTTTATTAACATGTTATTTTTTATGCGTCATAGCCCTACTGTAGATAATGCTCATGACTGACTAAATGCAGAAGGAAAAATTATACACCAAAGGTATTTCTTAAAAGCTTGTATCTCTCTTAATCATATGACTCTGTAAAGCTTTAATATCTAAATATAAAATCTAAAACACTTTTTATATTGTGGTTTATTGATAGTGCCTGTGTCTCTTGGTCTCTCCTTTAATACCTTTTAGAAATTAATCACAATCTTGATTCCTTTAGCTTTTCTTAGGCTGCCTCACCTCTACCCCCATTGAATCATATTATACTGATTCCAAACGGGATTGAGCCAGACTCCCTCCCAAACTGTGAGGAAGCTAAGAGGAGGCAGGCTGTGATAAAGTATCAGTGTTTAATGCACACTGTTTCCAGCCCAGTACAGGCGTACCAATTCATCTGGAAATCAACCCTCTAAATCTGGTGAACAGTTATTAAACCTTTTGCTGTAGCTGAAGAGCCATGAGAGCTTGACTCATTGTCTCCTAGTCTCACATATTTCACCCACTGTCACACTGTTTCTAGATTTACTGTGATCCTTACCAATAAATTATGTATACTTATTAAGATACCTTGTAACCATTGAAATTATCCTAATTTGGCTGGACAACTATTTATCCTATCGATTCATTGTGACAATCATTCCAGGATTTATTAATTGCTAAGAGGTTAGAATGTCAACGACCCCATAGAAGGCTACAATGAATTTTTCACTGTTACTCTTTCTATAGCAACTTTGGCTTTACATCCATTGTCCTCTTCCCCTTTTTGAAGAATTCCTAGCGCTTGGGAAAAATCTTTGTCTTTTTTTCTCTCTTTAGCCTGCTCAGTTAATTTGGAATCTGTTTTTTAAAGGCTTTATTTTCTAGAAAAAGACATCTTAGTGTCCTCATGGGATACATGATATTTTTAATGCATTACTTCTCTTCTAGCACTGCAGCAGAGAGCAAAGAAAACTGAAGAACTGTAAGTAGTGTTACCAGTTCCACAGCAGAGTATTTGCAGCATCTGCCTGCTGTTATTTGTGCAATACCTAAGGGCATTAAGCCGGGGGCAGAGAACATATAACCAACAGGAGAGTGTAGGATGAACAATGGTAAAAGTGGAGAGGCAGAATACAGTTACGCAGATGAAATGTATGAGCTCTGTTATTGCCTACTATGGATGAAGAGAGAAAATGGGCAGTTGGGAGATATCTCCTCCTTCAGGGAATCATTTTGCTGGGCAGCTCCAAAGAAAAAATAGCTGCAGAACTATTGGTGTGTTTTCACCCTGGGATACCAGGTATCCATTAGGGCTAAGAGAGAAGAAATGGGAGATAGGTGACTATCCTCCAGGGTAGTAGAAGGGCACAGCGCAGAGCAGGTTTCTAGTACAGCTACTGTGTGTGCTGTCTCCTAGCTGCCCAGCACTGGTCTAGGGCAGGATCTCATCCTGTGAAGGCTTAGGAAAACACCACTCTGCAGGGCATCACAAACTCATGCTGCAGAGAGAGATCCTCGGAAGCTTTGCAACCATCTGTGGAAGATCCTAAATCCTGATGGCAAGAGGAGAGATAGAGAGAAGTGAGGTTTCATATGCTTTTAATAAAGTGCCTGGGTTTTCACACTGCAATTTGGACTAGCTCCTATTCCGCAAGCTTCTGACAACCTTACCTGGAAAGGAATGCAAGGGAGTAAAGAACACAACATGTTGCTAAGACGACTGTATTGTATCTCACAGTATTAAGAAATAAGAACTCAAAGTACAAGTGTTGTACATTTCCATTGTAAACGGGGCTTATATTTCACAAAGCAGCATTGCAGGAGAGTAGGGTAAGTGAGTTGGTTCATATCCAATGATTATATATCTTTTTAATGGTACCACAGTGCTGGATAAATATGTGCGAACAGGGAGGCCTCTTAGCTACCACTTGGACAGAATACACTTCACATTTCCTCAACACATTTTATCTAGAATTGTTTATATGGGGCCAAGTCCCAAGGATTTTCTGCTCCCTAACTCCAAAGGGTTAAAGTCTCAACAGTGACCAGAAGAAGTATCAAGAAAATTATTCTATGGTGGGAGGCTCACTGCCATTATCTGAGTCATTAAATCTGTTGCCTCGAGATAGGCGTTCCAGAAGTCGCTGTTGAATCAGGCTCACAAATGTATTTTGCATGGCAGTGAAACATTACTAAGCGAAGTGCTGTACTAAAATCGTGTCAGATGGCCCCAGAGCAGCCATGTCCAGACTTTCATTTCTCCGCTGGGATGGGACTCAGCTCAGTCCCAAAGGTGTTAGTGGGATAGGCTGCCCATGGAGATGCAACCAGGGTTTGTTATATTTTGTTTGTTTTCTATAAATGCACCCATTATGCAAAAACCTTTATAGCGTTTATCCCCTTGTCTTGGTGTGGCCATTTCATCCTCTTCTACTTATTTCTAAGGGAATACTGTTTCCTTGGAAGACCAGGAAGCGCAGCGTGCCTGCTACATTAGGCCTCATCCCGGCTCTGCTCATGCCTTCCCCTCTGGCTTTGCATAACCAACTCCAATCTCCTTTCTTCTGCCTACCCACTCATACAGCAAGATAATTTGTGAGGCTTAATTCATGTTAGGCTAACACTGTGTGGCCTTTGAAAGAAAGGTCTGCTTCTAAAGGCAGAGTAATACCATGGTGCCAACTAAATTTTAATTTAACAGTTATAGTAATCTCTTCTTTGATAGCCATTAAAATTGGGGTAAATTGGGGTGGGGGGAGTTTTGAAATGTAAAACCTATTTTGTGGGTGGAAAAACTTACCCCTCATGATTCAATATTACAGAGTGGGATTGTTCATTCCTGTCAGCCCAATTTGTTCAGCAACTCTTAACACAAATATGTTGGCTCACTCAGAAGATCTGTCACTTTTTTCTTTTAAGTATCTGTCACTTGATCCACAAAGACAGGGCTGCTTTTTATTCTGCTCTAGAAATTCTTCAGCAGAAGCCACTTGCTTTGCTGTCCCATCTCAGCCAACAAGTGCTCAGAGGTGAAGGAAAAGAAGTGGCAAATGACAGTCCCAACAAAGAACAGAAGTGGAAACAAAGAAACACCCTTCTAGCTCTATAGAGTTCAGGTTTCCTAAAATCAACATGGTGAGCATGTTCATGCAACACCCCTTGCTGTAGTAGGCTCCATGGGTCATTCCTAGGACCAGACTATGAAGCAACTTACGTTTCCCTTTAAAACACTCCTCCCAGACACATTTTTTTTCAGTCTACATTCATGTAGTTACCGTCCTCTGGAAGAAAAGGTACAGAATAATACAACGATTGGAGAAGAGTAGGGAAAAATGGCACGAGAGGCATGACTGCCTCCCGAATACCTTATGTCCATCTCTGCAAAAGAGTGTGAAATGTTACCAATGAACTGCATGGTGTTGTAGAGCCTCTTTATGCTCACTTCAAAATGCTGGAAGTAACTATGAGCTGCCGTCAGCTGCAGAACCACACCTTTGACAAGTAAATCTTCAAATTACTTCATGCATTTTTTTTTCCCAAATGTTTAGAAAGAAAAGTATAAAAAATACAATATTTTTAAGTTAAATTGTATATATAAATTATGTACTTAAAGTAAAAGCGTAGATGCAGGTGACATTCACAGCAAGCACACAAAAAATGTCTAGCAGACAAAGTGATACAGAGGAAGGTGAAGTATCTTTGGCTAAGCTCAGCAGGCTGGCAGCCAGGTGCCAGGGCACCTTGTTGTCATTTTAGTCGTATTTATCAAAGCAGCAAGAAAGATGACACAGAACAAAAGAAAGCATGGAGTATTGGGAAACTGACCCCTCCAAAAGGAATGGATGTGTCCAAGGACATGCAACTATTAATACATAAAAAGTAGAAATAGTCTAAAGTAATAGCAATCATTTAATTACAAGACCTATAATGACTGCTCAGAGAGCTCAGAGTGATTACTTAAAAATACTATTCTGAAATCCCTGGGTGGGCCACAATAAGTAGCTGTAGGTGATGAAAGTTAATTTCAACCCCAACTGGATGGCTCCAACCATCAACTGGGCAATTGCCTTGCCTAGGCAATCAATGCCAATAACTGCTTACAGTATGTACCAGAGCTCTTAGAGCCAAAACTGAAGGGAAAGTCCATGGACACATAAAATTAGAAAAATACAATAATAAATCCACAGGCACTAAAGAAAAATCTCTTATCCAGAATATCCTAGGATGCTTCAGTAACTCTACAACTTTGGTGTCTAAACTGAAATAGAAACAAAATATTTAAATCAGAGTAAGTAAACACGTGAATGAGAATATTGCTATTTAAACAGCGGAGCAGTCACATCAGAGTGTTTTTAAATAACACAACTTTGTCACAAAGATACATCCTTATACGCCATGCACGTGTATGCATTTATAACACACACAGACATCATACTGCCACACACAAGTTCTAGCGTCCTGCCTCCCTTTGTCACCTCTTCTGGTGATTTTGATACCTGCCTGGAAGTTCATGTCACGGTGGATTAACCATTTGCAGACGGATCATTCGTTTGCAACATTTACTGCAATTTGGACAGTAGACATTTTCCCGAGCAGCCACAGCTTATATCATTTCATGAGCTCCTTCTTTCAGAAAAATCCCTCCCTAGCCAAGGCTAAATAACACTAGCAAGTTTTGTAAGTGAGAATGAGCTCCTTTAGTTCCAGGTCCCTGTTTAACCATTACATCCTTGGACTTGGCCTTTTCAA